CCATCCAAAGTGGGATGGATGCCGTCTCTCCTAACAAGACCAGGTTTCCTCCAGAAGGTTTGCCAATTATCTATGAAGCCCACATCGTTTCTGGGACACCACTCAGACAGCCAGCAATAGGTGTGACTGATTGATTGCTTACATATCAGTCAAGTTTCTTATATGGTAGTACTTTGTTATAGCTCAGTGGTTGTTGTTTTTTTTTGCCTACAGTGGATAAATTGTGCAAAATGAACAATATTGGCGAGTTTCTCTTTTTTCAGCGTTGGAATTTATTAACATGTATAACTTGCAGTTGTGAATTTCATGTGCGTGTTTTTTTGTTTTGTTTGTTTCTCTAGGTTCCACACAGAAGTCAACTATGACACACTGGAGATCAGGGATGGCCCCTCAGCATCCTCTCTCCTGATCGGCGAATACCATGGTACCCAAGCGCCTCATTTCCTGATTTCCACATCAAACTTCCTGTTCCTGTTGTTCACTACAGACAACAGCCGCTCTGCCGCAGGCTTCAGCATCAGATATGAAAGTAAGTCTAAATGACTGATAGACTGAAATGCCTGGTAGACACACTCGAAATTGCTTACAGACGCAAATACACTCAACCTTTTGACACTGCGGCGGTTGTGTGATGTGATTTTCAGGTGTGAAAATGGAGTCAGACTCGTGTCTCGATCCTGGTATCCCAGTGAATGGTCGTCGCCATGGCAGCAGCTTTTCCATTGGCTCTCGTGTGTCATTTACATGTGACCCGGGATACACACTTAGCGATCAGGAGCCAATTGTTTGCGAGCAGAATCATCAGTGGAGTCACGCTCTTCCCAGTTGTGATGGTTAGTATCTTCTTTTATTTTATTTGATCTCTTTCAGGAATTACCCTGTAGCGTGAGTAATACAATCAGGGGCGAATGCTGTTCTCTCGTGACTCACCTCACACATAGTTTCACATTCTCTAAAGATGGAAAAGAGTGAAAAAATGTTGTCAACATACAGCACGTACTGACAGAGCAGGCCATTGTGGTTTGGGGTTTGTTTTCTTTTAACCAAAGATATTGCCCAGTTTTTGCCCCCAGAAGTGCTTAGTTGGGAGAACAGCTTGAAATAGCTTTATAAATACACCTCTCAAGCCAAAAGCTGCATTAAATGCTTTCATTGGCAAAATAAGTCATCTTGAGCTGAATTTAATTCTGGCCAAATTGTTGTTTGATTGATTATGTGTGTTTTAGAGTTGATGTTTTTAATTCTCCAACTGAATATTGCAACTAAGAAATAGTAGCCACCACAGTCTTTTGTAGGGATTTTTATCTAATCATTTTATTTACACTGGAAATCAATGTATGAGTTCTTTTTTAAGTTAATCTGGCACTACAGGAAAAGTTGAAATTGCATCTTGCTTTGATAGACTTTTGAAAGATTGCTAAATATCAGACTTTGTTATACTATTTAGCACTTTTCTTACAATCCATCTCAACTATAACTATACACATCTCTGTCTTTCGGTGTCTAAATAAATGAATATGTGTCCCTGAAAAGCTTTGGTACAACATGTGCCAGTCTCATTTAAAGATTATTCTTTAGAAAGAATGATGTGTCCAAACTGCAAGGCTAAAACCAATTAAAAGAGAAAATTTAATTGTTCCAAAGGTGCGTAAACACACTTGTGTTCGCTGCACCTTGGACAGGGCTCCATTCTATCACTTGGCTACAACATACAGCAGATGCACACTGAACTTGACATCTGCTGTATGTACATTTTCTCTGAAGATCTAGAGACACTGTTTTTTTCACTCATGTTCAATCCTATCCTCATAGCTAAACATTTTTAAGGGAATGTTTTTTTGTTTGTTAAGCAACTTACCACTGACATATGAATCATTCAAAAATAAAATAAGCCTCTAACTCAGGGGACAGCTTTGTGTCTACACATAACAGACAATATAAGGTAGCAAGGAGGCAGTTTTTAAATTGCACCTTTAAGCACTTTGTTACTAGCAGCCTAGTGCAAAAACACATCATTTGTCCCCATTACTTTAGTTGAATTTCCAAAATTGCCAAAGATAACACAGAATGACGAGTATCAAATAGTATTTTTACACCAACAGGGTGATTACCAGAGAGCTGTTAGCTCTAAGCTTTGCATATCATGATATAGTGTGTAATGTGTCCTTTGAGGAAAATGATCAAGACAGACTTTTAGCAGAGGAACTTTAATGTGATCCATCTACTGTTCACCAGAGCCTCATCAGAAATGCTCTCAGTTGAAGGCTGGTTTTTGGTTCAAATCATCAATGAGGAATATCTACAGCCATCTGTAGAACGTGTTGGAGTCTCGGTCATGGTTTGAGGCTGAATTTCAGTCAGTTGATGCTGTCAAAACAAGTGGATTCTGAACTCAAAAAAGTAGTTAAACTTTCCTCTACCATGTGATAAAGCAGGTAGAGGAAAGCAGCTTCCTTTTTCAGCATTGCAAACAAGACAGAACATATCAATCATGGACTGGCCTCCCCAGAGCGTTGATGTCAATATTATTGAAGCAATGTGGGATCATCTTGACAGAGAACAGAACTAAATCTGGCCAACATCCAAAGAAGAGCTTTAAATGTCCTTCAAGAACCTTGGAGGACTATTCCTGAAAACTACCTAGATTCATTAAAAGTACGCTTGCTCAAGAGAGTTCAGGCTGTGTTGAGGAATAAAGGTGGTCATAACCAAATATTGACATTCAAGCTCACTGAAGTTGCACAGAAACTTCTTTTGTGTTTCCTTATGTTGGCGCAATTTTGCATGCACTTTAATAAATCTCTACTCGTATTCTCCATTTGGTAGCAAAAAGTAAAGAATTGATGGGTGGCTCAAGATTTCTGCAGATTACTGTTTATACTAAATTTTCTGCGTGGTCACTTCATTTCTACACTGACCCTGAACATTGAAACCTCGGTTGAATATCAACACAAAATACAGGAGACTAAAGATGGAAGAGGCAGAAAAGAGGATCAGTCTGTGTCAGAGGTAAAAGACATTTGAAAGGGAAGGTGCTTTCAGTGACACCAGTAGCTACTTTCCTTCATAGCAGAATATTGAAGAAAAAAAAGTCTGTTCTCTCACTTCTGCCTTTTGCCCTTTAACTTTTTGCAACAGACAGCTGTAATTGGGCAAACAGTCTTCACTCCCACCACAATGACTCAAGCTGGACATTTAGCCTTTGTGAACTTATTCAGGTCAATAGAAATTACTGAAACAGATGCTCCCTGGCTATTCAAAGGGCTTCCTAGTGAGCGTTTTTTCTTATGCTATGGTGGGAGTTAAACAAACAGCATCTCATCTGCTCTGCCAATTGAACATAATCAAATATGAAAATGAAAGGATATCACAAGTTAGGAGTAAGTTCATGACAAAGCAATCTATGTCATACTTGCAGCCATGTAAGGCAAATAGTTTTAAACCGGCACTGTGACATTTTCAATTTTCAGCCAGGCATGCCACTGAATGAGACAGCTGTCACATTATAAGACACGTCATTTCAGAATGGCACTTTTCTGAAATGGTGTGTAAGACTTGACTTAATGTAATGTGAGATATAGTGTGCTTTTGGGCAAAGATCACAGTGGAATTATGTGTTAAGTATATTATTACACTGCTGAAATTTAGATTAATCACACTTGGCTGCATGTTGTGGAAGTGTGGGACAAAACAACAAGTCTTGCAAATACTGAGCAAACCTACAATATCTACTCACAAAATTCTTGGTTATTCTATTTAAAAGAGCAAAGAAATCATCTTTAAGCCCTCCCACAGGCATGCTGGAAGCGATTCATACACACACTCGCACCCATTAATGGCAATAATGTTATTTACAGGACAGTCTCAGAGGCACAGTTAACATTTCATACACACTACATTACACAGACAGCACTGCATTTAAAATAAAAAGCAAAATGACATGTCATCACCCCCCCAGGCATGCAGGCACCATTCCCTTTCAGTGATGCCAGAACGTCTATTCAACACAAACTATTCATCTTATTCCTGCAGGTCAGTTAAATCACCAAACAGATAACGCCGGCTGCTCTTTTATGTGTCAGGAAGAGTATTGAAGGGCTGCTGTGACATTTTAAAGCATGCAGTTGGTGCCAAGACAACAACTTGTTAGAAGTGACCAAAGTTAGAGAATCACTTAAGAAGACTAAGAATGTATTTAAAGACTAAGAAAAGGGAAGGAGGAGGAATGATGCTGAAAACTGATATGCTATCTCTATATATTTATCTCTACTCTCTGAAAACCAAGCAGCTCTTTCTTTAGAATCCAGCCTCTTTCTCTGTTTCATTTTTTTTTTTTGTTGGTCATGAATCGTCTCTCTTTCTTGTCACATTCTTTCTATGCATTGTTATACACCTCACAGTTTGTCACACACATTTTCTTAACGATCTCTCTCTCTCTCTCTTTTCACACACAGATGATTAGGACCACCAAAGTATGAACCGTTACACACGTTACATACATTACGTACAGACAGATAGGCCTGTTCGACATAACGATATATATCGGTCTATCGTTTCATTTTACGCTATCGTTTGTTTCGTGGTGTCGCAAAATAAACTAAGGCAATATTTTTTCATCGTTTTGATGGTCCCTGTAGTGGCTATATTAATTTCTTAAAGTTCTCTCTTTCTCTTATATTTAATATAACCACACTACGAGCGCCTGTTTTAACCACAACGATGGTAACACCATCGCGTGTCCGCTTACCTTTCACAATAAAGCTCAAGATCCTGTTGAGACTTTTCAAAATAAACTGAATCTCGTGAAAGAGCAGATTATTTACGGATGAGAAGCAAAAAAGAGCCGCCAGGTGCTAAAAAATAAACCTTAGACTCAAACGTTAGAACAGACTTTTCTCTGCAGCACGCCGTGTAATAAATACTCACAAAGAAAACGGCGGCTGCTACAACTTATGTCTAAAATGTATTGTTTCATGCATTGGTTAAAACACTCGACTCCAGACACACGACGTCCAGCTGGAAACACTTCCCGCAAGTCGAGCTGCCCGAGAGTCACAGAATTTACAGAAAATGTTACATTTTTGTGATTTATATCGTTATCGGGATTATAGATGTCTTATATCGGGATATGAGATTTTGGTCATATCGCACAGCCCTACAGACAGACATGTGCATGTGCTTAACAAGGGTCATTTAGTCAGACAGTGTCCTAGTTTTTGCCAAATCCTGATGGGAGTCTGAAAAGCTGGCACAGGTTACCGCAACACTCACAAGACAGCTAGTCAGTGAGAGGGAACAGCTCGTATCACAGCTTCTGAAATCAACCCCAGCCCTGTTGAAATATGATATAGAATAGTAGGAAGAAAAATGATCAGACTGAGAGATTGAGAGAGAGAGGGGTGAAGACGAGGTCTGCACGCTGGAGTACCTGCAGCACGAAGAAATTAGAGGAGCTGTGAAATCTGTCCTCATAAATGCAAAATCATAAATAGTCTTTTTATAAACCTTTCACCAAACGAATGACTACTGCATTTATCTCTGTAGCTAAAAGATGCGTTTGTGTACCAAAATATATATAAATTGACAGTGAAGAAAAATGTTTTGTCTGTTTGTTTTGTTTATAGTCTGGAATCCATTTGTTTTATAGCTGACAAAGAGATTCCTTTTATTGCCATGCCAGTCAAACACCTTGAAGCGCTTTAATTGAATTAAATTTATCTGAACTGCTCTGAATAGTACTGAAAGCGATGAAAGCTCAGTCAAAGAGAAGCAAAGAGTCAATATATTATCTTAGTTCAGAAGTCTCTGATGTACTGCTAGCTCTCTTTTACTCTCCATTACATTGCTATGGCATTTTTCATTCTGCAGTACCCCAAATGAATTTGTCCCGTTCCATATCAGTGAATTGCTCTGTGTGGAGGCTAGGTATCTGGTAACACACACACACACCAATCTCTCACTCTCTTTTAACAAACCAGTCTCTGTTTGTCTGTGACATTCTCCCTGCTCTTTCCTTTTGTCCTTTTGTTTCTGCAGTAAGCTCATCTTTAACCTTTGTTTCGTTCACTTTGCAAAATCTCTTTGCAAAAGCTTTTCTAACACAAAGGGTGTTTGCTGAAATCAGCACTGCTCATTGCTCACTGCTCATACTATACAGTAGAATGTTTGCACGCATAACAGGTCGATTTACATACAAGACCTGAGACACCAGGTTTTGGTATTAGAGTTATGTATGACTAACATCTTAAGATCTTTATTCTTTATTATTATACGTTGTTCTACTGTACATTAATCTTTCTTCTTATGTAATCATAGAGTAAGTCTTCAGTACAGGCCTGAATTTAACACCATGCTAACTACACCAAATTCAGGGGGGGAAAAAAGCCAAGGTCCCAGGAATTTAATAAAGAATTTATATTAATCTGCCAGTAGGTGGTGAGCAGAGTTGGGATCGTTACTCAAAAAATAAGTAATCTATTAGAAATGCTGGTTTCTTTTTTAAAAGATAATAATGTAATACTGTACTTACTTAGTTATCCATGGTGAAAGTAATTAATCACATTAATTTTGTGTCATGACCTAAAATGTATTGTCACATAGTTACCGGTTAAGAATATCTACCTCAGCCCCCTCTCCTGCAGCCTGGTTCCAATCTGAAATAACGGAAGCATCACTATAGTCTTTATTTTAGTGTTGCTAAGTTTGAACACAAAGCAAAGTTGAAAACCAACTCTAAGAGATTTCAAAATGTTTTCCACACTGATTCTACTCTAACATGTAGAAATGGATGCTACAACGCTAGAAGCCCGATTCATCATCACTGCTTTTTTAAACACTGTTAAAGATCAGGCTCTGGCTGCTGGGCTAGGCTTTTAACATCCCTCTGGGTTCTTCACTAGCTTTGTCAAAGCATGCTGTCACTTTTCACATACTTGTAATGAGCCAAGCTGTGTTAGCAGCATTATGTTTCTGTCTTGGACGCAGTTTTCACTTTACCATTGTGCTATTGTCCTGCGTGCAATAAAAACAAATGTAGTGTCCATATTGTCGCTTCTCAAAAGTTGTAGAGCACCCCACCATTTTCCTCCTCCCTGGAAGGGAAAGGCATGTTCGCCATTATGCAGTCAGCTAAAGACCCTTTGTAATACAAGTAACTACATAATTGAACTATAACATGATTACTGAATTAAGTACAATAATGCAATACTTTCTTGTGTTACTGAAAAATGTAATGTGACAATAGTAACATGTTACTTTGGAACTCATTACACCGATCACTGGTGGCGACCTCTTAACGGTACTGAAGACGTGTACATTTTTAGTTTTTTGAATAAAAGAAAATCTCCAGCTGTGTTCCAATCTTCTCTGTCTGTCACATTTTCAGCTCTTTGTGGAGGTTATGTTTATGGTAAAACGGGAACAATTCTGTCTCCTGGCTTTCCTGACTTCTACCCCAATTCTCTTAACTGCACCTGGACTATAGAAGTGTCCCATGGAAAAGGTAAGAATGCTCAAATGTAATGGAAATGTCAATCACTGGTTATAACATGTTAAAATATGTATTTTTTCATATTTTAATAATACGGAAAAATGTGTTAGGCAATGAAATGTGGCTGCTCTTTGCCACAAATTCTCCAGTGTACACTTGGACAATTTTTCAAGTGTAAAAAATAGTTCTCTTAGACAACTTGCCACAGCCCTCTCACTATGTTCATGTAATGCCTCTTCATGTAATGCCAGACTGACTCAGAGATGTTGAGATCAGAGCGCTGTGGGGGTTCTATGGTTTTCTTGTCACTGCAGATAGTTTTATATGACTTACACATTATGCAAGATGGATTTGGGACAGAGCATATTCCTCACTGATGGTACTGGATGATGGATAAGAATCTCATGTACAGTGGCTTAGACTATTGCTTATATATATTGCCTGATAGAGTGTATGCTTTGCATATCTGTAACTGTCTATCTTACACTGCATGCCTATCCATCCATTCTTGCATTCATCTATCCTTTCATCCATCTACCCATTTTGCCATCTGTTCTTTCAGGAGTCCATTTGGTTTTCCACACTTTCCATCTGGAAGAGAACCATGACTACTTGTCAATCACAGAGGATGGCAATTTTCAGGTTCCGGTAGCTCGACTCACTGGCTCCGTGCTGCCTCCTAGTGTTAAAGCCGGACTCTATGGGAACTTCAGCGCTCAGCTACGGTTTATTTCAGATTTTTCCATGAGTTACGAAGGATTTAATATCACTTTCTCAGGTAAGAACACCTGAACACAATTTTTTTTACTTCTTTTTTAGCATTGCATTGGCTAAAATTCATTTTAAAGCAAATTACAAGGCTTATTAAGTTGGCCTGTTAGTGACTGTATGATGATCCCTTACCAAAAAATACATAAATAAATAACAAATTCACTGACTTTTCTTTAATGGCAGACTGTTGAAATTTTCAAACTAATAAACCAAATTGTTAGATACAGTGTTTCACCTGCTCAAGTAACTTTTTAATATGCGATGAAAAATGGGTTTTATGCATTATTAAACCTAACTGGTTATTTTGGCAGACATGCAGTACATCTGGTTAAGTGCTGCACTTACATTTAAACGTTTTTATTTGGGACCTGATACATGATACACTAATTTTTGACAGTTTCCTTAAGTATTTCAAACCTATTTGGCACTACAGATTACAGAGCTTCCTATCTCAGTGGATGAAGCAGTCTTAGATGAGACTGCTGCACATGTTTTCATAATGAGATGAAGCAGGGAAAACTAAATCAAATGTGTCCTTTTTAACATGCTTGTAATTTAAGCTAATGACAGTTTAATAAATTAATCTTTAAGTATTTAAATTATTCTGGGGTATTTAAAATGAGTCTTTATGACTCTTAAGTGACACAGCTCCAAATGCTTACATGTAGTGTTAATGCATTTCTTTCTAGTGTTGGCTAATATACCAATTTTTGCACACTTCTTATTAATTAATACCTTCTTTCTTTTTATGCTGACTCATGACAATTTGTCTCTACAGAGTATGACTTGGAGCCATGTGAGGATCCTGGTGTACCAGCATCCAGCAGGAGAATGGGACTCAGCTTTCAAGTTGGTGATTCATTGAACTTTTCTTGCTTCCCTGGCTACCGACTTGAGGGAGAGAGCAAGATCACTTGCCTGGGAGGAGGCAGGCGAGTCTGGAGCAACACGCTACCACGATGTATAGGTAAGATGTCAGCGCTTAGGTTGACTGATTTGCCAGAAATATAAATTGATAGCCACAGCATGCAAAACAGAAATCATGGTAGATTATTTCTTCATTTGAAAAACATTTCCATTGCTAGCAGGAGTCAAACTGAACTTTCTGAGGTTGTGAATATATTTGCAAACTTAAAAAAAAAAAAGTATTGTTATTTAAAAAAATTTTTTGGTGTTCTTAAAAAATGTAAATTAAAAAAATAAAATTCCTTTATTCTCTCATTACACAGTCATTTTTAACAAATTCATTTTGCTAGTGTTATTGCACCAACAGGGTGCTATTAGGTTAAACAGGATGACATTAGAGATGCTCTTTTTACATTCAGACTATTTTTTATGTAATATTAAACTAAAAAATATAATGTTGAAGATGTTATCTCTTCTATGAAAACAACTGGCAGGTGGCAAATAAAACAAAACTTTTAAAGTAAATTCTTGGCCATATGAATAAACCTGGAGCATTGTTCTAATTCAACAGTATTACTGTATTGCTAACGTAACAATAATCGACTTGTTAAATGTTAGTTTTATTTGCTAGAATTTTGCTGTTTGCACGTTGTAACTTAGCGTTTGATGCGTATCAATGTTTTCTTGGATCCTGGTGGTAATTTGCGAGTCTGACTGGTGGTTGCTGGTAATTTTGAAGCCCAGAAAGAGCAGACTGAAAATGCTATAATAGCATTATCTGTCAAGAGATCAAGCCTGACTAAGAGGAAACTAAGCAAGAGCAGCTGGCAATGTGCACTAGTTTCATCCCCTTTCGTTCCTTCTAAATGTTCCTCTCTTTAGCGCTCTGTCTCTGTCTAAATTTCTGTTTCTCCTTCTCTTCCTCTATATTTTGACAGTCCTTTGATAGATAATTGGGGCATTAGGCGCTATATGAAAAGTGTTAATACCGTGCCTTTTGTTACTCCCCTTTTCCCTTTTCTAATTTCTTTCTGAGCATTTTCAGGCTTGTCTGTCTTGGTTCATCTGCTATCTCTTCTTCTTTTCTTCCCCTTCCAATTCTCTCTTTATCCCTTTCCTGCCCCTCTTCTCGAGGCTCTGTTCTCTTACTCCCACTCTATTGTACTCTTTTCACTTTAAAAGGAATTTCTGAAGAATTGCTGTGACTCTCCTTTATTTATGCTCCTTACCTCCTACCTTAATCTGCTTTAGACACGACAGAACATTTACAGAAATGTTGTTTTGAATTTCAAATTTCTTCAGATTTGATAAACACTGCGTCTTTTTTTTAGTGTGTTTTATATTGTTTCAAACCACCCTCTCTCGTCTGTCTCATTACTCCCATTTCCTCTTTTTTTCTTCTAAGTAGTGGTGGTCCTCTTCAGTGGGAGTTAAAAGCCTGCTCGGCTCTCTTCTTTTATCTCCTCCTCATTTGCATATGACAAAACACTATTTGTACAAAGTACCAGTTTATATGAATTCCTAAACTTTGATAGGCACGGCACCTGCTAGATCATTCTGTATAATTTCATGAAGGACTTCTCCGACATACTTATCCAGCCTTAGTGTTTACAGGGGTTTTTTGTGTGTTGTTTTGTTTTTCTGCCCTTTTATCAATGTTTTGTCGTTTATTTTCAAGTTATTTTGTTGTTTTTGTAGCATATTTCAGACAATGCTTTTTGAACTGCAGTACAGTGCAAGAGCCTTGAGCAAGCAGTCATTTCTTTATATTTTTGCAGGGGTTTTTTTTTTTTTTTGGACTTGAACAGTAGTTGTCCCGGCTTTCTGAAGGTCTTTCAAATGTTTCAACATTGGCTGCTTTGTCTCTCATTTTCAGTCCAGTCCTTACACCTGACCATTTTCAGGGCAATGTTTTTAGTTTGTTAATCTGACATATGACTCATTCAAGAATAAAAAAGGGCCCTAAAGAATGAACCAGTATTGTGTCTAAACATAATAGTCTCTTCAGGCATTTTGTGACTAGCAGTGTGTTGTAAATGCATATAATCCCCCCCCCTTTTAGCTGAAACTACAAACATTATCAATGATAGCACAGTTTAACAGGCATAAAATAGTATTTCTGCACCAACAAAGTGAGTACCAAAGAGTTATCAGCTGTTAACGTTGCTTATCTCAGCATGGTGTGCCCTTAAGAAATTTGAGGAAACTGGACAAGTGGAAGAAAAAAGAGGAAGTGGTAGGTATAAAAGATCAGTGTTGGTCAAGTTACTTGAAAAAAGTAATCAGTAACTAATTACTGATTACTTCCCCAAAAAAGTAATCCCGTTACTTTACTGAATACTTATTTTCAAAAGTAATTAATTACTTAGTTACTTAGTTACTTTTTAAAAACACGATTTACAACCTGAAGAGGTGATAAAGCAATAGATCTTTCAGCCCAATTCTACTTTTTCTGCATAATCCATCATACAAAATGTAATCAAATGGAAAAGTCTCTTTTTAAAACTTGTTTTATTAGTTTTAATATTTTAACTTTATGCATCAAGCAAAAAATAAATTATATGCAACATTCTCTGACTGGAAGAAATTTGTTTAACATTTAAACCTATTTTCTGCACATTCCAGCACATAAAATAAAATAAAATATTATTTTGTGTTTACACTCAGTCTTTCAAATAAATGCAAGTGAAACACAGCAGAAAATATCAAAGACTCAGCGGTCCTGTTGCTCTATTTTCACCTGTATAGCAGGCGGAGGTTTGCCCTGTTGCAGGTGTGCCGCAGCAGTCAGTGGAAGAATCCACGAGTTTCTCTGTGAATTTCACGTTCCGTTGTAGCGCACTCAGTGTTTGCTCAGAAGTTAAGTGGTTTTTTCGCTGTAAAAAGAAGTTTTCTTCCAACGCAGTGAACAGCGGACGCTAATGTTTTCGTCACTTTTTACGGAATCAAACTCAAAGTAAGGTCAGTACTTCCAGGCTTTAAACGCTGCACGCTCATACTCGCACTCAATATATTGTCCATTGTTGATCTGCACACAGCTGTTGTCACGAACGTGGCACTCGCTTACGTCACTGTCATGACACTCGCAAAAAAAATCAGGGTTTTAGTAACCTTTACATTACTCGTTACTTGAAAAAAGTAATCGTATTACAGTAACGCGTTGCTGTAATACGTTACTTTAATACGATTACTTACTGCCCATCTCTGTAAAAGATTACCTACCGAAGATGAACAATAACTGAGAGCCATCTTCTGAAGAAACAGGAAAACATCTAGCAAAGAACCTGACACAGGACCTGCGAGATGCATCTGGCCCTATAGTTCAATGAAACCTAATCAGAAGTGGCCTCACTGAAAAAGGTGGCAGTGACGAAGCCATTCTTACAGAAGGGAAACACCAAGTGAAGGCTGATGTATGCTAAGCTACACATGAACTGGACTGGAAACCAGAGGCAATTTTTACATTCTTGGTTCAGATCATCATCGATCTTTATGTACAGAGGAGGTCAGGAGAGAGGTACAACAGTGAGTGTCTACAGCCGTCTGTAACACACAGTGGAGGCTCTGTCATGGATCGGGGAGGCAGTTAAGCTTTTTATTTTGGGGGATCTTGTCAAAACTGATGGTATTATGAACGCATAAAAGTACCATCTAAAAATGATCCACCAGGCAGTACCATCTGGAAGAGGTCTGATTAGCAACGGCTTCATTTTTCAGCATAACAGTGATCCCAAACATACTGCTAATGCAGTAAAAGCATGGATAGAAAACCACGCAGATATGAATTCTTCTGCAGAATCCCAACGTTGAGATTACTGGGATAATCTTGACAGAAAAATGAACCTTCAAGAAGCTTTCAACTCTTTCTGAAGACTACTTAAAGAAATTCCGAGAGAGTTCAGGCTGTGTTAAAAAAATAGGGTAGTCAAACTGAATATTGACATTCAAGCTCTTTAGAACGGTGCAAACTCTGTTTTTGCCTTTTATACCATATTGCTATATTTCCATTTATGTTTGCATCACTTCACCTATTTCTAATTTTTCTAGAGAAACATAAGAGTGGTGGCTCAAGACTTTTCCACTGTTTTTTAATAGACTTTTGCATTGTCTCTGCCGAGTTGAAAAAAAGTTTGTGGCGCTACTTAATATGCGCCATGCTCTCTCCACGTCATGCAGAATGTTTTTTTTTTCATTTAAATAAATTATAACCCAAGCCTGCTATTCAGAGATAATTAGATAGAAGTGTTCTCATTTTGTAACTTCTCCTCTACTGCCTCGCAACAGCTGAGTGTGGGGCCTCCTCACTGGGACCAGAAGGTGTTCTCCTTTCTCCAAATTTCCCCTCCAACTACAATAACAACCATGAGTGCATCTACCGCATTACTACTGAAAAGGGCAAAGGAATCAGGCTGAAAGCTGAGAGCTTCTCATTGCAAGATGGAGATTATCTCAAGGTGTGTACCCTCACATACACACAGATATGCATGCAAAAACGACAAATTTCACCAATTAGTCCTAAAGTGTATAATTTATTTACTGACTCTCTCTCTCTCTCTCTCTCTCTCACACACACACACACACACACACACACACACACACGCACACACACACACAGACAGACAAAATACATACAGGATTATACTATCAAATGCTGTCAAAATGCAAAGCTGTATGTACTTTGACTTTGCTTGAACAATCATTACGTGTTTGGCTTGCTGAGCTCTAGATGCTAGCATGAATACTCTATGAAATAATGTGTCAAAGCTTTTGTTCTAGCCATGAACATCTGGTCTAATTAATGTGTCAGGTAATGTTTGTCCTTTAATTATATGAGATGTGCAAGTCCAGGAAAAGGAGAAGAGTGAATAACATTAGGGTCTCTGGTTTCTTGGCTTACCTGCTATGTAGTTAAATAGTATTGTCAAGGTAGACCTACCTTTTAGATGTGTTAAACATTGTTGCAAGAAGCAATAACATCCCTGCAGGGGGTTATTAACCATCTTCCCTATTAGTGCTGATGGTGCTCCTGCTGTAGTCATCCATGCTGAATGAATGCTTTGGAAGCAGAGGCACAGAAGGATCAATTCTTCCTCTATTAACCCTCTAATGAATCCACTACAGTGTACAATTATTATTGTGTTTGAAGGTTGGCTTTTTTGCACTTTCATTACTCATATTATGGGGGTACCATCAATAAAATGAATAGCTATTTGACACAATTTGTACAATAGAAGAGAGACGTTTTACCCCAGTTTCAAGCTTTATTGTTGTGTTGCTAGCTATTTTTATTTTGGATGATCACCTCCTGCATGGTTTAGTGTTTACTTTTCAATATCTTTCTTTCTTTAGTTTTTTTGCTGTTTCTTGGTTGTATTCCCTTTTGCATTATTCAAAAAGCAAACTGGTGAAGTGCCAAATAATTGACATCTACTAAAGGCCACTAAGTCAGTGCCCATAGACTCCCAAGTTAAAACTTCCAACTTCAAGGATAACATTAACATGTAATAAACCACAGAGTTCACGTTCAGCCTTTATTTTGGACAAAGAAATGTTTGTTTGTTTGTTTTTTGACAATATATTTATTTGTATTTAGTAAAAAAAACTCAACTCCTTGAACTTTTTTTCTAAGACACTGAAAGAGGTACATTGATCTTTAGTGTATTTAAAATGTGGAGGTTTTTTTTGTTTTTTTTTATTCAAGAAATTTTTTTTGTTATAAACTTGATGTTAAAAAATTCCCATCTGCACAGAGAATTACAGATATTTCTGATGCGCATATATCCTCATAAGTCTCGCTCTGGTACATGCCCCGTTGGCAATTGTGCAAGCTATTTTACAGTCTTAGCGCTGTCCTACAGACATCGTCTAAAACTGTTTTTATTCACAATGTCTCTTAGCAGTATTAGGCCTGAGGGCATGGTTAAGCCAGTATGTGGTTAGAGTGTATTACCAGTCTTAGGCCTAGAGCATTGGCTGAGCCTGTCTGTAGTTAGATTGTATTAGCAGGGTTCTTCCTGACTTTTAGAGAGGCTTAACGTCATTGTAAAAGCTGGAACTGTTCCCAGTGGGATGTGTTTGAAAAAAGTAAAAATCCTTTTAACAAAAGGAAAGTAACGGCAAGATGGTTAACAGACACGCAAACGCCTAAATATTCCCTGTATATTCAGAAAAAGGAGATAAAGGAAATCTAATTGTCAACAGGAAATAAAAATTGCATGTACAAAATATCCCATCAAACCTAATCAAAATCATTTAAAAGTTTGCAGACTTTTAAACTAATAAGGTTTTAAATGCTTTTCCCCTTGAAATATATGCATTTACCACCTTTTCTGCTGCATAACCTAGCAATACCCATAGATACCACAATTTGCCCTGCATCAGTCCAACACAGTGCATTGTTATAAAACTGCACCACACATTACTGCATGCCAGCCTCAGCTGGTTTTACTGTCATTTAAATCCTCTGGATGCAACGTTTTTGTAGACGTCTACAGTCTCAGTAGACTGCAGGTTTCTTCATCTTTATGAATAGCACTGTTGCATAACAATCAAAACTAATACAATTGCATAACAATGAGCCATGATTGGTCAAATGATCATGTCTTATGATTGCTGATATGCAGTTGTCACAGCAATTAATCGACGACCATGCGTGCTATTCACAGAGAATTGGTTTGGGAACACGGGAATGGGAAGAATGTGTGCAGGCAGGATGTTGGATACTTGGATTTCTGTGGCTGTTCTGGATCATTCCGGATGTTTCTGGCCCACTGCATATAATTATGAAGATATTTTGGAGCACATCATTTACAATATAAAATATAATTCTCTGTGCACCGGGGACAGAGCTGAAAAACAGTATTAAATAGTTGTAATCACCAGGCCTCAGGTGGTGCAACATTAGGAAGAGACATGATTTTGCAGTGAAAATCACAGCATGGGCTCAGAAATTCATTGCCAGTGAACACAGTTTGTTCCTGCAACTGCAAATGCAAGTTAAAATTATACAGCGTAAAGAAAAAAAACAACATTTCGAACAAATGCCGTTACCCTCTCTGATCCCGAGCTCATTTAAGATGGACTGAGGCAACATTGAAAATTGTACTGTGGGCTGATGAATCAAAATTCCAAGTTATATAATATAGATGCTGCATCTTCTCTTTGCTAAAAAGGAGCGGGCTCATCGAACCATCTGGCTTCTTTTCCATTCAAAATCATCCTCTTTGATGCTATAGGGGTGCATTAGTGCACATATGTGGCTCTCCAGATCTCTGCTTTTTCTAGAAAGGGTTTGTTTTTTTTCAGCAAGAGAATTCTAAACTAAACTGTGCAATGAAACACAGTTGCAGCTGCATGTATGAGGTATAGATTGAGCTATAGCACAACAAATACTTGCCTCGGTACACTATTTCCACAATCAGACTGAAAAACAAATGGACTTGAGCTTCAGACAGGACACTAGGATTTAGGTTTTCTGTGACAGCTCAGAGATTGGATATGGATGGGAAAAAACATACTTGATTGTTAAGATTAAATTTTGCTTATTAGCATAAAAAAGCTTGATGTGAATACTGGGAATATATACTGTCTTATTTTGTCACATGAGCCCAAAAAAACACTTGTTTGGCCCATTGAGATCCATCACGTTTTATAGTATCTGCTCAGGTTTACCACAGTTACCACAGTAATAAATATTGCTCAAGTGTAAAGTTATGGAGTGAGTACAAAGAGCGAGAGGTAGCTGGCACTTATAGATGACACCATGGAAGCTGTGGAAAAGCCAGAATACTTGCTGAAAATATCACTTGGAGTATCCAGAAGCCCAGCAGAATAGAACTGGTCCAAATGACTTAATAAAACCCGAAACTGCACTGCCAAAATAATAGAGGTTTCTACAGACAAAATAACTGAAAATACTCAATTTTGTTGTACTAAATTCTTACTTTTGGTCCTGTGTTGTATTATATTCAAACTAAAATCCTTAGATTTTCAGCTTTTTTATCTTAAAAGAAATCTAATTTTAACCATCCAACATCTGAGTGATATTGCACAAGGGCATCGTTACTTGTGTGCTATACTGCAAAAAGCAATAGTTATAAAAAGATACCAGATGCTTAATGGGATAGGATCACTGTACTATAGCTATTTAAAATATTTATTTAATGTCTATTTCAGGGTCAGTTTGGTGAATGTGTACAACATCTGTGGAGACGTACCACAACATCAGAACCAGCTGAAATAGATTGACACTTTGCAATGGTCAAGCTAGAAAACTTTGGGTCTTGCATTTACATCCACTGGGACAGTACTGCAGAACAAATCCATCTCCCATGGAGATATCACCCCTTGATGACAACGGTCTTCACAAATAGGATATTGCACCAAAAACTGCTTAGATGTAACCTATATACAATACCTCATGAACTATAGACTTACTGTAATGCCCATATCGGTCCTGAAGTGGTAAATGGACTGGTTCTTATATCGTGCTTCTCTACTCTACTCTACCTGAGCACTCGAAATACTTTATATAACTTGTTGAACCTCTTGATTCACCCATTCCTTCAAGTGCTTTCTATCTCACACACACATTCATAGTCTTAGGACATTTGGAACAGCCAGGGATCAAACCACCAATCTTCCGATTAGGATGACCTGCTCTGCAACCTCCCCTAAAGGCATATATATGGTCACCACAGGATACCACCAGAGATCCCATGTTTTTGTCCCAAGGGCTGGAGATCCTTCACTGAAGTTTAGCAAGACCTACGTAAAATTAGAATTAGGTGGTTTTAATGTTGTGCCTGATCATAGTGTATTAATTATAAATTTCCCCCAAAATTAGCAGAAAGCATACAGCAAAACTAAAATGGATGAGTAAAAAGAAAAAGCCCCAAAGTGCCACTTAGGCTAGCAATTAGCACGCTACTCCCCAGGCTAACAGTAATGGAGCTAATTCCTGTTACTGCAGCTGAACACTGTGAACACAAACCATTTGTTTAACAGTTCCAGCCAGCTTGAGGCGAAACTCTCCTGTAATATATGAAGCAGCTCATTACAATTTCTCTTGCTGTTGGCTAAGTTTTTGCCCTGGCACTATTAAAGAAGAGGCTTACCAAGCTCAATTTGCCTGAAAATATCAGCTAATACAGTGATTGACCATATTTACTGAGATTTACCCCCATGCCTGAAGAAAAGAGGGAGGGTGAGAAGGAAACAAAGTCGGGGTGTGAAGGAATTGTTATGAAAATAGAGGTGGTAAGAGAACAAGTGAGAACGAGAGAAAGAGTCACACAGACAGAGAGAGGAGGGGTGGCAGATGGTGACATGTTGATTTATGAGCTGCAGGGCTTTTCATTAACCATACTGAGTTTTACTGAAAGAAAGAAAGAAAGAAAGAAAGAAAGAAAGAAAGAAAGAAAGAAAGAAAGAAAGAGAGGCAGACGGAACGACGCAAAATTCACTGAGAGGGAAGCTGTGGGGTGGGAACATGGGAAAGAAAATGAAGTTTAGTGGAGTAATGCTGCTGATACTGTGATGCAATTTCAACCTGCGCTTCCAGTGGCCACGTACTCAAATATAAACTAGGTACATGTTTGTAGCAGGTGGTGTCTCTGCTGACTGACAGTACTGACTTGAGATAGAACATTACCTTGCCTTCGTCTATTTTCTTTGGCATTCCTGCGACCTGCGGACCTGTCATTAGCAATCTTTAGAAATGTCACTGTCTGCCAAATATAAGCATAACCAACCCAAGCACGAACAATATATTTATATCACATTGTGTGAGCTAGTTTCACTACCAAATACTGCCTTCAATAGTTTCAAATGAAGAGAGATTATTTTTAAATTAAGGGCTGTTCTCCTCTTTGTCTACATGTTTACAATGTTGGAAACAGTATTTTCAATAAAACATGAAAACTTGTTTAAAAAAGCAACTTCTGTTTGTCACTAGCTCACTTTGTGGATGTAGTGCTAGCTTAGAAACTTACTTTGGTGATAACAAGTACCTCTTATTTTTAGTTTTGGTGAAAACCTGTATTTTTAAACCATAATAATGGGGCTTTAGTAAGTAAAATACACAGCACAGCCCTTCAATCTAATACTCTGCTCAACTTTCTTGTGTTGCCAAGTTATAAAGATGTTTTTTGGCAGCCATTATTCCACCCTCTGTATCTACTTCTTTCAATGTGCTCATTCGAAATAAATTGCTTCCAGCTGTTTTGCCTCTTGTTTGTGCTGCTTCTATGAGTGCACAATTACAGGTTAATGAATATATTGCAAACCAGAATTGTTGGAAACTAAAACGAGACCCTGTTCAGCAAGAAATCTGAAATGGTAACCAAAGGAGCTTGCAAAGAAAAGCGCCTGGACTTCTTTAAGTTGCTTGAAGACGTTTCACCTCTCATCCGAGAAGCTTCTTCAGTTCTAAGGTCAAATGGTGGGGACACAACATAGAAGAGCCACCTCCACAAAACAAGACTCAGCTGTCCATCTGCATCTAAAGCATAAAGGTCACTTTTTCGAGGATGCCAATGTTCATATTTTGGACAGAGAGGACAGATGGTTTGAAAGAGGAGTGAAAGAAGCCATCTATGTCCACTGGAGCGACCATTTTTGAACAGAGGCGGGGCTTACGACACCAACTCTCTGCCATCTATAATCCAGTTTTGAGATCCTCCCCAGACGCCTTAACGCCCACTCACATCCTGGGCCATCTGACCTCAGGAATTCGCATGATAAGGTGGGGCCAGGTTTCACAATGAGCTCACCCGAAACCCTGGCTGATTGGGACCCACACCCGTTTTCACACCTTGGCTCAGGCGATTAGAGGATCATCAGGGGGTCCTTTTGTCCCTCTGTGGGGGGAAACTCCCACTAGGTATAAATCTGGGACTCCCCACCATTTGACCTTAGAACTGAAGAATCTTCTCAGATGAGAGGTGAAACGTCTTCAAGCAACTTAAAGAAGTCCAGACACTTTTACTTGCAAACTCCTTTGACTACGATGACCTGGATGACTGAGAACCTTCACAGACTAAAATGGTAACATCACTAATGCTTTTGTAATATTTGAATATCGAAAAGGAGGGTGAGTAAGTGATCGACAAAAAAAATACAAACGAGAGACGTTTTTGTGTCACCGTAAACCAAAACTCCTGTCTTCACTTGCTTTCAGTCTTATTCATTTTTCCCCTCCTTTAATGCGCATATCAAATAAAGTCACACATAAACACAGGCATTGACTTGGCTTTACCAGTGTGTTTAGTTATTAGTAAAAATATGCATACTGAGGCTTCTAGCTTTTATGGAGAAAAAAATGCTCTATTTCTTTTTAATGGTTTCATCTGTAAAATGAAGGGGGATAATTTTTCAAAATATAAATACACTTTTTGAACACTTATGACAGCTTGAGACAACCTTTACTGTGAATAACCAGCTTTTTATATTTCATTGAGGGCTACAATATTCCCGTTGCCAGTACTGAATTTAAAGTGATTTTCAAATTTACTGTTTGCCAGAGGTTACGAACAAGAATTAAACAGCAAAATTGAAAGTAGGTTCATACAATGTGCTCACTGTGCCACTTTTAATTGTGGCAAACAAAATGTCAGATAAGATAAGCAATTTTTTAAATGTCCTGGACTGTCCTGGATCGCCCCACCGGGGTGCTGGTTTCCCTTTTTACTTTTTAAAAAGTGACTTGCTTTGACCTCCTAAGACCCAAACTCATTCATGGCATGCATTTTTAATTTCTCTTTGCTATTTGGGCTGATTGGGACCTGATGAATGTAAAAAACAAGAATTACGTGTTTTGTTTTGTTTTGTTTTTTAGAAAAATGAGATCCACATTTGAGGACTTTCGCTTTAAATTTCGATAGAACAGTGGCAGTATAATGTCCTCATAAGTGGATATCAGGCCTGTGTAAAGCAAAATGTAGTATTTTGGTCTAGACAACCGAAAATGTGATGTCCACATATGTGGACGCCAGGTCCTAGGAGGTTAACTTTAGCAGGATCACTGTCATTGGCCCACCTGAGCAGATCTACTGTATGTCAGAGTACTGGACAATAGAGTGTGTCATACCTCTCATGCATTCCACTTTTGTCCTGGTCATTGAATATTGGACAAACTCCTTATGGCCATGAGGATATTCTAGGGTGTGTAGGAGTTTGCTCAACCCTTGTGTGTGTGATTATGTGTGGGATCGAACTTGTCCCTCAGGGTGTCCTGTGGGAGGTTGCTTCAGGATCTGTTTTTATAGGCCATCCAGTCTTTGTACAACCATTATAATAGCGTAATACAGACTCATTTCCAGTGGGAGTTGGACTTCACTGTGGTGCCCTTTGTCATCGTTTGCGTTCATAACTTTTGTGGACAGAATTTCTAGAGGTAGGCAAGTGCACAAGGTCTAGTTTGATGACCTGAGAACCACCTTTTTGCTTTTTGTGTGTGATGTGACTCTTTTGGCTTCAGTGGCATTCAGCAGTGACATTCACCTTGAACTGGGGCAGTTTACAGCTGTGTGGGAAGTGGTAGGAATGAGAATTAGAAAAGCTGGAAAAGTGTGGAGTGCCACCCATGGTTTCACAAGGAGTTGCTACCTCAAGTGAATGCTGTCCTTGCCTACTTTGGTGAAGAGAGATCTGAACATGAAACTAAGCTGTCAGTTTACTGGTTGATCTACCTTCCTCAACTATGGCCATAAGCTTTTTGGGTCCTACAAGGAGCAGACCCAGAGGAAGACCCAGGGCATGACAGAGAGATTATGCTTCTTGGCTGGCTTGGGAATACGTCTGTGTCCCACAAGAAAAGCTGGAGTAGGTGGCCAGAGAGAAGGAAACAGGACACAAAGCAATGGATGGATTGGATGCTAAACTAAAAAATAAGCCTTTTATACTTTACCTCCCACATTATGCATTGCCTTTTGGTTTTTCATACCAAGCCAGGAGTGCACTGTGCACCTATGTTCACTGACAGCCTCATTATTTCTAACACTCATGTTTTTATTCATGTCCTGAAATCCTAATCCTTTGTTTTGATTGACAGGTATATGATGGAGAGAACAGTTCGTCACGCCTCCTTGGAAATTTTACTCGTGAAGACATGATGGGTCGTGTCATCAATAGTACATCTAATCACCTGTGGCTGGAGTTTAATAGCAATGCTTCTGGAACTAATCAGGGTTTCCACCTTACATATACAAGTAAGTGATCTTTATCAAAATGTTTAAACCAGGAATACAGATCATTTAAAATGTGTATTTACTTGTACAGTGCTGGTTTGAAAGGAGCTTTTAACACGACTCTTGCTGTCTATCACAGACACCTTTCTACTTCAATTTTACTTTAAATTAAAGGGAAATGTCTTATACATATTTGCACATCCATAAACTGTTCCTTAATACCTTTTAATGTTTCATATTTCAAATTATGGGCAGCATGGTGGCACGTGGTTTGCACTGTTGCCTTAAGAAGGTCTTGAGTTTGACCCCACCATCTCGCTGGGGCCTTTCTGTGTGGAGTTTGCATGTTCTCCCCATGTTTGTGTGGGTTCTCTCTGGACATTCTGGCTTTCTCCTACAGTCCAAAGAAATACAATTAGAAGGATTAGGTTAATTGATGATTCTAAATTGCCACTGGTGTAAATGTGAGTGTGAATAATTGTTTGTCTGTGTCAGACTGGCGATCTGATCAGGGTTTATCCCACCTCTCACACTTTGGTAGTAGGGATAGGTTCCAGCCATCCGTGACCTTGTTGAGGAGAAGTGGAAGAGAAAGGATGGATGGGTTTTAAAATATTCCTTCTTGATGTTGCACTTGGTGGAGACATCGTTTTGATTATCTGCAGTTAAACAGAAAATGTATATAGCAAATTAGTAGTTGTAGCCTGAGATCACCACATTAGGGATATCTGGTCTCCCTGATCCCATACAGAGGCAAGAGTTACACAAAAAATTACACAAATTCCATCACAAATTGTTGATCAAAAGTAGTCCTAAAAATGACAGCAATATATGCACACAGCTACGCAAACAGTAATTTACTATATGAGAAGTAGCTCATCTCAAAGATCGTCATGAAGAGATGTTTATAATTGAAATCTAGAGTGGTAGTAATTGTTTTTGATTGCCCTCTTGAATGTTTCCTGCACCTGCCCCATGCTTCAGTCAAGTGATTCTTGAGTGCTACTGTATATAGCAGAACAAAATAGGTGTCATGTACTACAAAACTGTAGAGACTAGCCTTTCTCAGTCAGCAAATTGCATTGCTTTGTTTTTCTTTTTCCCTTTTTGACAGCTTGAAAGATCAACAATCACTTTTCCCAAGGATTTTCTGTTGAGGGCCAGAGTGCAACAGTAGCTTACCAAGCATACTGTAAAAAATGAGTGCATGAATATCTGAAACAGGCTGTCTTTCTTTCTGACAAACACATATGCACACACACATCTTAATAGCTGTAAAGTGAGTCTCTTAAGAAGGCAAGAGCAGCTGCTGTGTAAGTCAAAGAGGCTATTAGAGGAGCATTTATCTGCAAGTCATTAAAATAAGGTGAGAAAGTGACACATCTCGAGTGGAAGAGCGGCTGGACGAAGGGACAAACAAATGAAGCTAGATGTTATATGGACGCCAGATATATGCTCTGTATGTCAGTTAGGCCATTAGACAACCATCAATCAGTGAGTCATTAAACCAGAGAAGGTGACACCTTCTTCAAAGCGCTGCTGCAATAGATGAGCGAATGGATAGATAAGAGAGATTGATATAAGGTTTGAACAAAAGAAAGGGAGGAAGCAATGGCTCCTGATCAACGGAGGCAGCAATTGCTTGTTAAGCAGAGTCAGAGTCTGAGTTAAACAGTTTCAGTAATGCACATTATTAGAGGCTATTTCAATACAGAAAATAAAATAATGTGCACATCTGTTCAGGACATTAAGAAAGCCGGTTGTTAGCATTTTCTATTACAGTTTAGTAATAATGTGGTAATAGCGGCAAAACAAAGAATGTAATAATACAGAAATAGCAAGTTATAACCCCTTAATTACCACATTATTAGCCAAGTAATTACATTGTAGCAAAAGTGGTTATAGCTGACTAATATTACATTTAAATTTAAACGCTGGGTGATACTCAGACAAAAACTGAGGGTACTAAACTCAAGTCAGGACTAAATATTCCTGACTTATGTCTATAGCATTATTTATTTGGATGTAACAATGTAACTATTATGTTTAATGTTCTGGCTTATTACCTATGAAGGGAAACAAAAAGTACTAGGTAACCATAGAAAACTATAAGTCAGTATACAGCAATTCATATTACAGTTATTACCATTTTTGTTGCTTGCAGGTTATTATATTGTTATCAAAATATTACTGTTACTGATAAAGTGCTACCATTAGGTGAATCTCTTTTCACTGAATTGACAGGTCTAAACACAAAAGTCAAACGTATAGATTGAGTGGATTCTCATTTTATGCCCTGAATCTGGCAAGAAGTAAAAACTTAGCAGTTTTACATATAATAACATCACCCAACAGTCAAGTGACTCATAGTGATCATCATATTAAAACAATTTAGCAACGCACTGCCAAATATGTCATTAAACTTTCATTGACAAAAGCTGAAATTTACCATGTAGAAATTTAAGTATCGCTGACTTTATTGGATAATTAAATATCTGTGCTGCTAACTGATGAATCTTCTTGAATAAAGAGCTTTTTTACAGCTTACTGTTTATTGTCCCTATAGCAACCCCTATCTGAGTGGGAATGCTATATCTATCATAAGCTGACCTGAGGGGGAAAAAAGCATATGTTGGTTGCATTCTTGTGTCTTTGTTTAACCATCTGCCTTAATGGCAGGAAGTTTTTCTATTCTTGTGTATCTTAGAAAGTTAGAAACTCTGTTTTTTCTGTGTGTATGTGGGATGTAAAATTATCATTTAATGCTTTTTTTCCCTCCACATTTTCACTGCATAAATTTAACTGACAATGCTTTCCATTACCATTACAACTCTCATTATATTTTCAGAAAGTGAGAATCCCAACTTTTCTTTTTTTTGAATGTCACAGAAAGAAGCATAATTTTATAATTTTATGTCACAAGTATTAACATTGTGTTCAGACCTTGAAATTCTGTAGGACGTAGTGAGATTCTGGAGAAGAATACAATAACCTTATGTCCTTTTGTCCAGAATAGAATCATCCTGTGTGAAAGGTAGTGTTGCAGCATGGACAGGAAGACCCAATCACTATGCCTGTGTGTTTGTCTCCACCCAGGTTTTGACCTAGTACGCTGTGAGGAACCAGGTGTCCCTAGTTATGGCTATAAGATCCAGGATGACGGTCATTATGCCAACACTTTTGTCCTGTACTCCTGCAACCCTGGATACAGTCTTCATGGGAGCAGTACACTCACCTGCCTCAGTGGTGACAGACGCGTCTGGGACAAGCCGCTTCCTTCCTGTGTCGGTTAGTATGCCAGCATATGTGTAGGTTCCCTTCTGCATCAATATTTAAGAACTACAAGATCTGAATTATTAACCTCTGGACAACTCTCTTTTTCATACAATTCAGTGAGTGATATAGCAGGGAGAAGCTACTCATGTCTGTTTCTGAGTTGCAGCATGATGATTCAAAAGACAGTGTGCGAGAACAAGTGACTGAGTCAACAGACAAATGAATACTTTCAAAAGAGCGTGTGGGGGACTGATTCAACACTGTGGGAAATGTAGTGGTTCTAATACAATTTATGCATAAAAACTGGCCTTTCTGATCATCGGCCTGTGCACATGAGATTACATGCACTGTGGCATCTGGTTGTCATCAGGTAGGATATTTTAGTGCATCGTGCTCTCTGTTTTAAGGATTGCGTGGTTACGATGCAAAAATAAAGGGTGATTTCTGAAGTGATGAATTTATAATGTAAGCCAGACAACTCCCTAGTACCCTGAAGGTGTGAAGAGCATTTTATGCCAGAGACTTTGACAGAAGCCTCAGCTTTCTCTTTTATTCTCAGCATGCACAGCAAATAGAATATTCTATCAGAAGAGACTGAAGGTGATGTAGGAAACAATATTGATTCATCTGAAATTGTTGCTTCTTGAATAAAATTATGGTAAAATACGACCAAACAGAGATATTATGTCATAGAAGAGCTGCAATAACTCTTTTTTCGATGTACGACTATACAGACTGCTTGCTATATAACCTAATTTTGACCGCATGCTGTTTTTCTAAAGTTGTATAATGACAAAGTTTGTTTGTCTGCATGCTCAAAATTCATTTTAGTCAAATTAGATAGCAATCATTTCAGATATAAAACAAAAAAAGTTTTTCGTTGTTAAACAAACTTACTGCACACCCGTATGAAACTGATGATTCATGATTAAAACTGTCCTCTTAATAGGAATCACTTCTTCAACCCTTCTGACTCAATCTGCAACAGAGAATCATAAATAATAAGAAAAGACAGAAATGAAGATAAATGAAACTTTTAAAAAAGGACAGCCCTCCTGCACTTCTCTCCAACTCCAACAACACTACTTGAGTAGTTGAGAATGCTGACCACAGATTTAAAAATAAAAGAATCATCATCCATTTCCAATGTAAATGTCACAAACAGACAGTTACAGCAGTTACAGTATATCAGTTTTGCAATGACTGACCACCACATGACTGCACACAGTGTTTTTTCAGATAGTAAAAATAGTTTTTAAACTGTATTTGGCCCATTTAAAATATATTTGGGCATTTCTTAACGTTTTCAGGCAGATAAACTATCAGAGGATAGCTGTACCTTTAGTTGACATTTAGCACCTCTTAATTAGTTCTGAGAAAAGTATGCCAAGAGATTCAGGTGCTTTTTAACTTGTTTCCCTCTCTTGCTTTTAAGTGTGTAAAAGCTGTTTCATATTTTAACTACAACAAGTACAGCTGGTCATTCTGATTCCTTATTTTCATTCAGCAACCTCCAGTGAAGCATGGAAGGTTTGTTTACGTGTATTGTTTGTAGCTAGCTTTGAACCCCCTAAAGGAAATTTGCAATTTTTTAAAGTCCATAATTCCTATTTTGTTCATAAATATTGTGTGGCTTTGCATATTTTGGAAATGAAAGCACAGTTCCTGTAGGTATTCCATCTTGCTGAGTAGATGTGGGCACAGAGCACATGTTAATTTGGAATTCCCCACTGTAGTGCTTAACCATGTGTCTTGTAACCTGCCAGTACATCTGAAGTCTGTCATGTGGGTTATACCCAGCTGTGGTTTCTAATGGCAACTAAAAACAATGTGTGTGAATGGATGTGTATGGCGAAGAGTGTGTGTGTGACCCTGAATGCCTCTGCAGTCAGTAAAATTTTTGCAACTGTTCTGTCACTGCCTTATTTCAGGTAAGCCAGCAACCGGGAGAATACTTGCTGGCAGAGCCCTGGGCTAACTACCTCTGTAGCTACCTTTGCGTGCTCATCCTTTGTCTGTCTGTTGGAGTGTTTGTCTTTCTGCCTCTCTGACTGTCTCCTCCACTGTCTGTCTTGCTTACTCCCATATCTATGTGCATAAGCATGGAGATCAGGAGATAGGTTTGCCTCAGGCTGTTTCTATACCAAGAGTGGTTGTCTGCTACTTTGAGAATATCTTTTTTCCATTTTTCCCCTCTCCTTGTTCAAACTGACAAGGAGAGGGGAAAATTATTCCGACAATATTTCAGTTTTGGTAAAATCCAGGTTTTCATACAACACATATAAATTTACAATTTTGCATGTACTTATAAAAACACAAGACATGAACACAATAACCAAGCCACCTCTTCACATACAACTTTATAAAAGTAAAAAACATGAAAGATCAAATTTAAATAAATGCCTGCATATTTTTTTACTTTTAAGTTCACACATGTGTATAAACTTTCATTACTACAGCACTCACTCACACATTATCTTTACATGGAACAGTTTCATTACGGCAATACATATTGTTATTGGAAAAAACTGTTTTGATAATTATATATTTTTTCAAAAAAAGATCTTTTGTATTTTCTTGTACAGTGTCCATTTATTATGAGTTACGCCTCACCATAGCTTGGCACATTACTTTTTTCTGTGTCCTACATAATTTCACTTTCAACAACAGAAATAGTCTTTTCGTTGCAAATTATGTTACTGAGATAAGATTTCTGCTTTTCTATTGGAAAGGTCCCAAAGGGTCAAGCCCAGAGCAGCATGCAGGATTCTATTGGCCTTGAAGTCCTTCCCTGGCATATATAAATATTGTTTATTTGTGTATGCTGCCATGTTAAGGTCACAAAGCTGAGCTGCAGGCAAAATATTGCAAAGTACTTTATCTGAATAAAGGGATGAACAGAATATTTGTCTAAAGTATAAACATTCTCCCAGTGTGATGACAAGCTCAGAGTTGTGGTGATAGTATGACCTGTAAGGATGTGTGCTTCCCCTGGTTCCCCTTGATACTGCACCAAGTAAATACAGTAAATGTTTACATTTGAGTCTCCTGCAGTCCTCTGTCTACACTGAGGCAACACAGTCTCATCAAAATTTACATGACAATAATTAATGTCAAAGGCAGAGGTAAAGTAAAGCAAAACTATACTCTTTATCTTTCTTTTAAAGTGGAAAAACTTTAACTACCTTCCCTCTGCCTGTACATTCATCAGTATATGTCAAAGCCAGAACAGCAATTAAATTTGCAACGGTCTGAAAATATCTCATCAAAATTCTCCACACCTGTTGGCCTGATCTTTAAAACTTCTTCTCTGAAAATTGGCCAAGGCTTACTTTGCAAGTTGTGTTGTAAGTCCTATCTGCCAGCAAGAGTGATAAAAACACAACAGAATAGTTGCCTTTCTTTTCCTGCTTTCATTCACCAGGGACAGAAACAACTATGTTGTTGTACTGTGGATGCTGGCGGGTGTGTTCACATGTCTGGATGTGCTTGCGTAACTGTAGAAATGTTTTCAAGTATGTTCCTGGCCTTGTGTGTGATTGTCTCTTGGAGTACCCTTTGTGTTTGTCTTCACATGGAAATTCTGATTTGTGTGCTTTCTGCCCAGGGTAATGCAACAACAGTAGGTTGCCATGGTTTTGTAGATTGTAGGGCTGTGTTAATGATGCACGTTTAACTCACACAAACAAACACACAGACATGCACAGATGTACATACACACACACAGACATACCTAAACAGCAGTCATCTTCTTGCGCTATGTGCTACCATGATGAGTTTAAATCTCTTACCAGCTTTGCCCCCTGATTTGTCCATATTCACTATTTTTAACCTCTCTGTCCACAAAAAACAATATAAAATTAACAAAAAACTCACTTGTGCTGTAAACTGCCTCTTTTTTCTTGAACTCCTTAACAGAAAAGAGTCATCAAAGTTATTTGCCAGCCTTGAAACGCTATACCAAAAGCTTGGATAATTCAAGGTTGATTTAACGATTCAAGCAGTTCTTAACTGAATCTCATTTAACTTAACCTTCACACCTCAGTGCAATTTACAGCGAAGAACAGAAGCTACATCTTATAGAGATAAATTGAAACATTAATACAAAGACAACCATAAAATGTTTAATGTAGGATCTGGTTTTATAGAGAGAAATCGTCTTCAGTGGGCCAAAATGTCGGGCCAGATCTAAAACTGGTGGAAACCCTACTTCTCCAAACCAACCCGAGGATAAGAAGACCCAGTCAAATACAGTCCCGATCAAACGTTTAAGACCACTTGGAAAATGGCAAAAAATCATATTTTGCGTGGTTAGATCTTAACAAGGTCCCAAGTGGAGCTTCAACATACAACAAAAAGAAATGGGAGTGAGACAAAACATTTTTTTGAGCATGCAATTTAAACTGAAACAGGCTGTTTTACAGCTGATCAAAAGTTTGGGATCACATGGCCACTAATAGGCCAAATCTGTGCAAAAATGTGGATTCAAAAAAATTATATTTTTTATACAAGTTATCATAAAATGCAGTACTTGCTCCAATGTTCCTTTATGCTTTCTTTTATTATGCATAGTAATGTCTGCTATGGTGTTTTAAAATATCTTGGTTAATATGCATTAGTGAATGGATGGATGTGTTTCAGCTGCTGACACTTTAAGCTGCATAAATTAAGGCATCAAATATGCACTTTTTTCCACTCTCATCTTCTTGCTTCCTGTCCTTGTAGCTGAGTGTGGAGGTCACATAACTGGTGCGGTGTCTGGACGGATTCTGTCTCCAGGATATCCTGCTCCATACGACAACAACCTCCACTGTACCTGGACTATAGAGGCTGATACAGGAAAAACTATCAGGTAATTTAAGTGCACGTGAGTAATGTCGCAATGACTTGCAGTTATCTGGGGTATTTCCTGTTCTACATTAATGGTAATGCTTCACAAAAGGATTGAAGAATAGAAACTGGCTTTTTTATAAATAAATAAGTCTGTTGATGTGAAAGTAAACAATCTTGTATTTTTGTGTTTCCTCAGCCTGCACTTTATTGTCTTTGACACCGAGGTTGGCCACGATATTCTGAGAGTTTGGGATGGCCCATCGGGACCATCAGATGGTGGGATCCTGTTGAAAGAATGGTCAGGGCCAGCGTTACCTGAAGACATCCACTCGACTTTCAACATACTTACGCTGCAATTTGATTCTGATTATTTCATCAGCAAGCAAGGATTCTCAATACAGTTCTCCAGTAAGTAGCTTTCTCTTTATACTGATATCATTAAACATGAGGTAGAAGAAGAACATTTGAGTTACGAGAAACTGCTCAGAAATGTAACACGATTCTACTAAATCTGTCCTACTTTACCCCTCAGATCCCTTTATGAAGGAAAGCCAATTACAAAATTACCTATTAATTTCGTTAAAACTCACCACTCATCCATATAGTTTTGTGGTAATCATATAAACCCTATTTTGGCTATAAGAAAATTAAGCTGGCATTAATGTGGAATTTAACAGGATTTCTGAAAAAGCTTTAGTCATAGAATCAAATGAGACATTTAATATCTCACCTTGGGAGCCATGTTCAGTAAGTACTGAAGTAGCCCACCAGAGACGGTGTCTCATTTCATTTTTAGAGCATGAAAGATTTATTTGGGAAACTGTAGTCTTGTGTTTTCTGTTAATTATTTTGTAGATAACGTTAATGAATTGATTTTTCTGTTTTTGTTTTGTTTGTGTTTGGGGGTTTTTTCCCCTTTTTTTTTAAGATGAGCTCACTGAACCTAAGCTGTTGCTGCCGTTTGTCCCAGGGCAACCTGCATGGTTGTTGTGCCATTTTGATGCAGAGATGCCCTTTGGTATTTGAGTCAGTAGACCCCAAAATGTCTGTGCATCCTCCTTTTAGATTAAAATCTTTTTGATCCACTATGGCACCAAAACCGATCAGAGGCACACCGAGAAAGAAGGATTTAGAAAGTACCATAACAACTAGGCGAGAATGTCAACTGATTGCTCACGAGACCATTCGTACACACCTGTTCTTTATACAGGTTTGTGTGCGCACACAAAAGTCCAACACGCATAACTGTCAGGTTTTCTACAAATATTTAAAGTAATACAAATTTATGTCTACATATTTCTCGGTTTTTCTTTCTCGCCATCCTTACACATCGTCCCGTTCTTTCCATGTGGAAAACAATAAATATTTGCCCTTGGTAACATCATAATTATAGCCCTATTATTCCATTACTATGGTAATGACCTTATATTTTTACCTCCACATTGATTTAGGAGGTGGTATTCTCCACCGTTTGCATTTATTTAAGGCCAAGTTTTTTTCCTCCTTACTTCTTGACTTAACACCTTAGATTTATATTTTAAGCCCCTAAGGGGTCCAGTCCCAAAGGGTGGATAGATATCCCTTCTCTAAACAGTGCTGGAATTTCAGAAAACAGAAAGGGACAATATTTAATATCCAATTTATGCTGTATTTTTTTTTAACATAGATCATTTTTTTCTTACTCTTTAGACAATTATTAATCTGATCAAAGCACTATGTTGTACTTAACCAACAGGCAACCAAGCTATTTTACCAAATGAAATGTCGGAGTCAGGGTCCTTTATATTTGGCTCTGTTTCTGTTGACCATACCTATGAAATGTTATATATAACATTTTTAATGTAAAATTGTACATATAAAATTACATTGTTCAATCTCGTCTGTTCAGTTACTCTTATAAAGCATTTTCAGTTTCAGCTAAAATAAAATAGGAAAAAGAAAAAATGTCAATTTTTAAAGCCCATAAAGTGAATTGTGTGCTCAAGTATGCTTGTGCCATTTTAACACCAAACTAAGATGAACTCTGAAAATTAAAGTCGTTATAGATTTTTGTTTTTTAAGTCTTAAATCGTATTTATCTGTTCTATCTTAAAAGTAAATAAATAGAAATGTTATTTGTAGATATGTAATGCTTAAAGTATTTGGAGCACCTTAGGGCTGATTGTGCAGTAACGGGCAATGTAAGTTCATCTAAATCTAGTTATCCCCACTTAGCACGCTGCTTAGCTCGAAGGCAGAGCCAAAAATTACCTAACTTGTTGGGGTCAGTGTGACCACATGTGTCTCCCGATATCACTACTTCTGATAAGTAGAGTAATTATATTAGTCACTGTCAGCATGATAACATAATAATAAGCTCCATTTGGACTCACTCTGCTATGCGTGTGTGTATTGTTTTTGCTTCTGCTGCTGACAGTACGACACTGGCAGTAATGTTACGTTTGAGTGCATCTGTCTCAGTTCCTTTTGTTCTCTGTGCTCCTAGTACATCAATATTTGTCTGCCTTTGTTTTCTGCACTCTCCAGCCACAACAGCCACGACCTGCAACGACCCCGGCATTCCTGTCAATGGTTCTCGATATGGGGACAGTAAGGAACCTGGTGACAGTATGACATTCCAGTGTGACCCAGGGTATCAGCTTCAGGGCAAAGATACTATCACATGTGTGCGAATGGATAACAGATTCTACTGGCACCCTGACCCTCCAACATGTGTAGGTAGGTGTACAGCTCTTTTGGATCTCTTACTGCCAAGCTGGACCTTCAGTTAATTCACCTGATACATTACACTTTGTTTGGGGGCTTATATATATCATATAGCACACTAAAAAAACAGAATATGATGAATTATATTATTAGATTAGATTAGATTAGAGATTAGAGATTATATCTCTCGGCTGGCCTGGGAACGCCTTGGTGTTCCCCCGGATAAACTGGAGGAGGTGGCTGGGGAGAGGGAGGTCTGGGCTTCTCTGCTTAGGCTGCTGGCCCCGCAACCCGGCCCCGGGTAAAGCGGAAGAAGATGGATGGATGGATGGATATTATAAAGGCACTAGTAGCATTTTTGTGGTGGCTCGTTGTTTTGTTTTGTACATTTGAACACTACACAATGGTAGACTCCACCTAAGGTTATATTTGGGTTGGACACTGAACACCCTTGGTATGTTTATCCCGAGGTTTGATCTGTAGCACTGTCGAATGATGGAAATAATGTTGATTGAGTTCCCACGTTAAACAGTTGAAAGTCCGGCGCACTTGCTCCTTTGCACTGTCATGCTTTCATGTCTTTGTATTCCTCTTTACGCTCTTCTTAAGCATTTGACTTCTTCACTAAAGGACAAACATGGCCTAAAGCCCTGAAACCTGCCTTATGTTTTTAATTAATTAAATTCATTGAGCTTTTCAATAATACAATCACTAATACAGCAGCTTTTCTCACCAGACAGCCTACGTACTTATAATGCTGCATGCCAATATTTTTTGAATTAACAGTGCTCAGGTGCCAAACTACATGGCCTTAATGTGTCACATTCATTTTGTTGATAAACTGCGTCATCCAGTTCAGTTTTGTCTCACATGTGACATTGTGTGCCACGTTAGAGTAGATGGATGTGGAAATCAAAAGAGATTACCATTCAAGGTCCTGAGCTACATTATTTTCAATTATTCAAGGATCAGAACGGACAGATTTCACAAGTCACTGAAAACTCCTGAAGTAGCAGGTTGCTCGTGTCGTCAGCCACCCAGCTTGCACCAAGACACCACAGACAGCTGGCTTACTGTTAGATGCTACGGTCTCCTTTTCTGTTGCCTTTTGCTTTTCTTATCAGCCACCAGTGTATAGAAGTCCTCCAGCAGAGTTACACAGACCAGAGATTGCCTTGTAACCATGTGTGTGAAACACATTATTCTTTGTCCCTGATATTGCCTTTGACTCTTTGCTAGTGACCTCAGGTTTGCATGAATGTAGATAAAATGTTGGGCTCATATCTCGCTCCATTTTCGCTTTACTTAGAGGGTGCTTCCCTGTCCTGCACTTTCACTTCAGGTAGCGAGTCCTCTGTGTTCAAAAGCTCCCAAGATGAAACATACTATACACGACTATGCACAATGGACTTAGTGTGTTAGTGTGCTTCTGCTTGTGAGTGATTTGCAAGTGTTAATACCTTTGTTTACTTCTATTTCACTGTTGATAATCCATTCACACCCACCTGCCAGCCCCAAGACACATCTCTGTGTTGCTAACTCTTCCTTCACATCACCAAATTGCTGCTTGAATGCATCTTTCTGTCTCTCTTGCCAATATCTTTTTCCTGCTCTCTGGCTTCTTGTGGGATAAAAGATCGCTAGGGGTAATTTTCTCTCTTAGCTACCCCCAGCCCTACACTCTGCAACTAAATCTCGCAGTCTCTCTCTCTCTCTCTTTCTTTCTCTTCTGCTGTCTGCAACCACCTTTGGAGGTTATATTGTCCACTAGGGGTTTTTCCCACTGTCCTCACCAATTTCTGCTATACTCGCCATTACCAACTAACTCATTTTGTCTCTGCCTTTCTGTGGGTTTTATATGACAGGTCAATCAGGGGTTATTCTGAGTCCAAATAACCCCAAGCCCAATGCTATGCAATAATGTTTCTCCCTTTTTCTCCCTCACTGTTCTCTCTCATCTTCAGCAACATGTGGCGGTAACGTCAGTGGTCCTTCTGGGGTAATTCTGTCTCCCAACTACCCCCAGCCCTACCCGCCTGGGAAAGAGTGCGACTGGAGAATCCGAGTCAACCCAGACTTTGTCATTGCCCTCATCTTCAAAAGGTAGATTACCTATTAATTGTATCTATTAATGAAAGACTAACCTTTTACCTTCCCTTTTCCCAAGCATGTATGTTTATGAACCTTAAGCTAACAATTGCAGCTGACTCAGTAGATGAAAACTTATGTTTTTGCCACTTTAAGGCAGATTAAGCATATACACATTATTTTATGTGTTTTCCCTAATGATAAAGGGGTGGTTCCTGCTCTATTTTCTTAAAGGGAAATGTTTAAGAGGTGTTGACATAGAAAACAAAGCAACTTTGACAGTTTCTGATAACTTCGTGTTAATTAAGGTTTTATAAGTGTCACAATAATATGTAATGTATGTGTGTTCTGCATGAAACAAAAGCCATCTTGAATCGTGTCTATTTATTGTGCCTGAAAATGCTGATATTTCTCACAGTCACTAAGACATGTCTTATTGGCACATTCTGGTAAGTATTTAAGCTTTTTTTGCTAGAAAAATTATTAACAGATTATATTAGGATGTTACAACAGGAAAGATCAGGGACTGCAACTGTAATAACACATCAGGACAGGCCGATGATTTCACTGATGATATAAATGTTTAAAGTGTTTGTCCAACTGTGTGAGAAAACATTAAACATTTTAATTTTAAAGATTTTAATGAATGTTTATAGAAGTTTTAGTGTCGACTCCCTGTAACCGTGGCCATCGCAGAGTCAAAAAAAGTCATTCTGCAGTAAAATTCATTGTTTTTGTAGTAAGATTATCTCTTTAGAAATCATAACCTTTTAACAGCCTAAGGCCCAGATTTACCAAATGGACCAAATTAACAAATTAAAAAAAAATGGTAAAAATCCACTAATGGGAGTGGAAATTCGGAACTAATATATATACACTGCTCAAATTTAGGGATCACTTTTTAATCAGAGTATAGCAAAAAGTCAGTTAAACCTCAGGATATTGGACAGCCCCCAAAACAGGAATTATTTTATTTTTCTCTCCTCATCTTCTATGAGAGTTTTTCCACAATGTTTGCATCTGGCTAGGGCCAGTGTCACTACTGATAACATGAGGCGATAACTGGACCCTACAGAAGTTGCACAGGTAGTTCAACTCCTCCAGGATAACACATCAGTACATTGCTGGAAGATTTGCTGTCTCCAAGCACAGTCTCAAGAGCATGGAGGAAATTCCAGAAGACAGGCAGTTACACTATGAGAGCTGAATGGGGTTGGGTCCTTAACCCATCGGTAGGACCGGTATCTGTTCCTTTGTGCAACTACAAACAGTATAAGCACTATCAGAGAATTACAAAACAACCTCCAGCAGGCTACTGGTGAGAATTTCCATGACAAAACAATCTGAAAAGACATCATGAGGATGGCTGAGGGCCCCACATTTTCTACTGGACCTCATGTTTTCCAGAAACTCAGTGATGCCCTGGTCCAGATCTGGCAGGAGAGCCCATGGATACTATGTGTCGACCCATTAGGAGCATGACCTGGTGTTAGGCATGCATACAAGCGCAAGTGCGGCCCATACAAACTACTGAGTACCATTTTGAGTTACTGCAATGAAATCTCTGCAAAATGGACTAGCTTGCCGGGTCATTTTTTCACTCAGATTTTGGGGTGTCTTTGAATTAAGCACTTTGATGGTCGATCATTTCCATTTCCACAAAATGATGCAGCATCTATTCATTTCTAACATATTACCTAGTCCATAACAGTTTAGATATCTAGCCTTTTTTTCCATTGTCATCTAATGCGTTTTCAAAACAGTGTACAAAGATGTGTACAGATCGTTTTTGACTAATCTACATTCTACCAAGAGCATCCCCAATGAAGGGATGAATAATATGTTAACTAAAATAGTTAAAGTTTAGGACTGTGCACATGTTTCCTTCTGGAAGCAGAATGGTATCAAATTAAAAAGAGGCAGCTGGTGGAGAATCAGTATGTTTTTGATATAGTCTTCTGTTACATATTATTGTTAACTCCGCTGATAACTTTGTCTAATCTATTACAAGCGAATCCACAAAATAAAGCTAAAACTGAAATCTGTAACTTTTGACATGTATGATTTTCAGAAGAATGCAGTTATTTACTGCCAAATTCTGACCCATACATATATCAATGAAGCAATTGTTAATGTTCCATTTGCATAAATGTGCACATAGCCCGTAATTGGATATTGTAAGATTCAGTCATTAGATATGTCTGAATCTAAATCCCAGTGATTGCTTCATTTTGACAGATGTTTGAATGTGGTGTTTAAGAGACCTGATAACAACAAGGTAGAAGTCCAAAAAAGCTGCTCTGCTTGTTTCTCTGCTGAAAGGAAAAAATTACAGATACTTTTTTATCTTTGAAGAATCTTTGTGGAGAAATGGGACTAAAAGGCTGAAACACTGCCCATCATTCACTATAAAAGCTAATTTGGCTTCCAATACGTATTTGTAGGCCTTTTGAATTGGGATTCTCCTCTTCCCTCACTCCAGTGTGTCACGCTGAGTTCAGTTCAGTTTAGCTAACAAAGCCAAAAAACAAGAACTGTTAACATGTCAGGGCGAAGACTGTGCAAAGAGACAGATGTCAAGACAGATGCAACATTTTGGCACCACGTTCATAGCTTTTTGCATCCAACGCTTCCAATTACATGCTCATTCTGACATTTTCCCCCGGCATCCCGAATAAATTGAGGCTTTTAGCGCCAACTATCGATCATAATAACACATGCTTTTATTGCGTGTGAAATACAGTGTCGAACCTTAGCCATTTCTATAATTCCTACCTGCGTGCATGCTTTTCAGTCACAAATTTCACATAGCTGGGATTGTTAATAAATCTGACCCTAAATCTTTTTAGTCTTTTATGTTTCATCACTGTGACCATTTTGATAATGTCCTACACATAGGAACAAGGTATTCTAAATTAACAGTATCTAATGATCTAATGTATATATCAGTGCAACATTGAATACATCACTATACAAATATATCTATTTGTATTATATCTATATTGAAAAGTACTGTGACTGCATGCAAAAAGAAATTAGAATGATCTTTTTCAGACAAACACACTAAACTTGATGCAGTGAGATTACAGATACTATTCTTGCCTTGAAATTGCTGTGTGAATAAAAGGAATTTCCAACCATTTAATGTTTTGTTTTTTGGTAATAGGGCAGTGTTTATTTACATTTCGAGTTCTGCTTGTGCCTCGGTGGTAAATATTTTACAAGTCACAGTGGTTAGCGGCTTATGACTAAAGCAAAAGTGAAGACTTGAGCTTCAAATGTAGCAAAAGAGATAAAAGCAAAGCGGACTTTCTCCAGATTGCCAAAGGAGAAAAAATGACCCAATTTTTGCTTCATGTTTTTAAGCTTGAGAGATAATTCCCTTCTGTTGTAACAGTGAGGCAGTTTTATTTTACTTCTAATTAAGTTGTATTGATATTGGTTGTTTTCTGAATGTTGTGTATCATATTTTTCATGATTTGTTTAAATTTAACTGTTATTTCTAAGCTTAGCTTGAATAGACTACAAAATGACCCAGTTAGTAATGACTTCCCGATCAGCCTTTGAATTTAATCACAATGTGTTTCTCCAGTCAAGACAAACCTAGTTTTGAGATGTCATTATCTGAGCGTCCACATCCGAGTGACCTTTCTTTTGTAGCTGTTTTAAAAGGTATCAGCCTGAAATCTTATTTCATTTGTAAAATAACCTAAAATTATATTTTATGTATGTTTTAAATTTATTTACAGGCTATTTGGAGTCATTTTAAAACAAAACACATCCGTATTCATTTCATTTCCATGTCATTACAATATATTTTAAAATGTGTAATTCATTTCATAACAGTCTACTCTCTCAATTTTATGTCATTTTCCCTGATTTTTCATCCAGAGCTTAATATACTCTAGTTTTACTGTTGTGGTTTGTAGGGTAATAATGTTGTGCCATTTCTTTTCAGCGAGTTTTAGTTTTATCACACTTAGTTTCTTTAGCATTTACACCCACGTGTATTACTAATGCAAAAGGTATTAGTAAAGACCATTTAAAGCTCCGTCATTGCAAATGGGGTTTGGGTGTAGTTAATCTCATTTTATACCAGACACAAAACAGGCCTTAAACTGAAACATTCATTGCACTCATTTTAACTTTGGTAATTTTTGCATACCACATTATTAATGTGTATTTTCAATAACTAATTTTGCAGTGGGAAACTTGACACCTGTTTTAGCCTTCAAAAAAGTAGGGGAAATACAGTGGCTTGCAAAAGTATTCGGCCCCCTTGAACTTTCCCACATTTTGTCACATTACAGCCACAAACATGAATCAATTTTATTGGAATTCCA